TCGTCTTTTGTAAGTTGTTTTGTAGTTCATAAAACTATGTTAAAATTAGACAAATAATATTATTCATTACTTTGTTCTTCTAAAAGATATTTCCTAATACTATTTTTCCTGCTAAAAATTGGAAGGTTATTGTGCTGAGAGTGTGATATAAGCAGCATATGAAGAGCATCATATGAATTTGGAAGCATAGAGGAAGAGGACACATCACAAGAACTGTGCAAAATAAATAAATAAGTATGTCAGAAAGAGATGGTGCGTGATACTAGGCAGAGTGTTGGCAGCAGGAGCTAGAGGTAGGGAAATAAAGGAGAAGAGAAAGTGAGGAATTGTAGATTAACAATAGGGGCAAGTGGGAGATTTATTGGATATATTTAAGGAGAGATTTACATCTTACCCATCCAATATTGGGGAAAATTTATGAAAGTCATATTGAGTCATATTATGAAACATAGACAGCTTTGTTTTAATGTAGAACCAGAAAGAATGGAAATTAAGATTTTTATATGGAAACAAAATCCAAATGATATTGTTTATCATCTAAGACCATCCTATCCTATTTTTCATTTATTCCTCCCTGTTTGGAGGTTTTGGAGGTTAACCGTGGTTCTCTGTTACCCTGGGAGATATATGTGAAATAAGGGAAGTGAGTCAGCATGAATTTTTTTTTTTTTCCTGTAAAGTACAATTTCAAGACATAAAATTCACCCCTTAGGTGCACATTTCTATGAGTGATGACAAACATATATAGTCATGCAGTTAAGACAGGGAACGTTCCAGAACCCCCATAGTTTCCTCATGTCCCTTCATTTCCTTTCTCTGTCCTGCCTCCCAACCCTTGGCAATCCTGCTCTTATATTTTGTTTTCCTTATAAGTCATATAAATACAATCCTAGAGGATAACTTTTGAGTCTGACTTCTTTCTTTTAGCCTAATGCATTTGAGAGTCATTGACATTGTCATGTGTATTAAGTTTGTCAGATAAGAGCAACACAAATGAATGGTTTTTCTCTTGCAGTTGGCTGAATCCCAGAATGCTCTATCAAGGAGGGATTAGGGATGCATGTTCTGCATTTCAGTGTTTGTTTAAACTTGAGGGAAGCCAAAGTTGAGGGGCCTGTATATGACTAAAGTCTGGTCCAGCCAAGGGTTGAGCGTAAGAAATGGGCATTTTGAACACTTGGTCAAATTATTCCTTTTATTTTTGCTAAGTAGCAGACCATTTAGCAAAGGCACTTGTGGTTCAATGGTAGAGTTCTTGCCTTCCATGCAAGAGACCCAGGTTCAATTTCCAGCCAGTGTACCTAAGCACAGCCACCACGTGTCTGTCAAAGGGCCATATGTGTTGCTATGATGTAGAACAGGTTTCAGTGAAGCTTCTTAACTAAGACAGACTGGGAATAAAGACCTGGTGATCTACTTCTGAAAAAGCAGTAATGAAAACCCTGTGGATCACAGTGGTCTAGTCTGCAACCAATCAGGGGGATGACCCAGGTCCAGGCAGTTCCATTGTGTTCATGGTTCCCATGATTTAGGGCTGACTCTACAACAGTAACTATAGATCATTGCATAACTGTTTACCTGTTCACCATTTGAAGGACATTTACATTTTTTTCCAGTTTTTGGTGATAATAAATAAAGCTGCTATAAATATTTGTGCAGAAGTTTCTGTGTAAATGTATGTTTTGATTTTTCTTGAATAAATACCTAGGAATAATTAGGGTGTAAAGTAAGTTTATATTTACCATACCAAACTACCAAACTGTTTTCCAAAGTGGCTATACTGTTTTGAATTTCCAACAGGAAATGTAGCACAGTTCTGGTTACATTGCTTCCTCACCAGCAATTGGTTTTGTTGCTTTGTTTTGTTTGCCACTCTAATAGAGATATACAGATCCCTGGTAGGACAACAGCTATCTTTTGTCCATTTTTAAATTGGGTTGTTTTCTTATTCTTTGAGTTTTGAGAGAGTTTGTAATATGTTCTGCATACACGTCCTTTATTAGATACATGTTCTGCAAATATGTTATCTGTGAATAGAAACGATTTTCTTTCTTTTCAATCTGTTTGCCTTTTATTTCTATATCTTGTCTTATTGTATTTGATAGGACTTCCAGTACAATGTTTAACTGATTTGGTAAGAGCAGACATTCTTGCCTTTCTCTTGAGTTTTTTTGAAATAATGAAATCTTCACCATTAAATATGATGCTAGCTATAGTTTTTCTGCTTTTCTTTGTCCAGGGAAGGGTTGTTGTTGTTGTTGTTATGTGCTGTCAAGTTGGACCCAACTCATAGCAACCCCTCCTTGGGTTTCTGAGGTAGTGTCACTACGGAAGTAGGTTGACCAACCTTCCTTCCGAGGAGTGGCTGGTGGGTTTGAACCGCCAGCCTTCTGGTTAGCAGTCAAGTGCCTTAGGCACTATGCTACCAGAGCTCCTATCTTTTAGTATAGTGAATTACATTTCATTGATTTCTAATGATGTCATCAGTATATCTAACCAGGTATCATAATTATGGAGGTAGATTTGGATTGTTTATGTTTCCTTTTCATCTTAATATTTTGCTCTTACCTTTTTGTTTTTTGCTCTCTCATTAACTCTTATGCCAATAATTGGAAAAGAGGGCCCTTATCTCTGGCCTTCTTTGGGCCATGGCCATTCTTTATGGAACCTTCCTTATGTGAAGGAGATTGTCAGTAGGAGAGTTCAGGTCCAAGCTCAGTTTAGCAGTTGATTTTGTGGTAAGCCTAGACTTTTTTCTCCCTAAAACCTTCATGATGACGTTTGTGTTTTACAGGTAAAAGAAAATGTCTGACAGCTACATGCCCTGTAATCCATGTCCAAATTTGTTGCTTGCTCATTATATTCTTGATTTCTATTGTGATTGTGCTTTCTGTTTTGTTAGCAGGTAAGTTACTTGTTCTCCACCTTTTACAATATTCTCTACACATTTATACTATCAGTACATATTTATTGGTCATTTATAGATTGCCGTTTTTTGTTTTGTTTTGACCACTCTCTGGGTACAGTGGAGAAGTTTAGAGAGATGTAGGAAAGGAGTGGTATGACTTGACTATCATTTTGGAGAATCCTTTTGACTGCTATAGTGAGAGTAGACCATTAGGAGACAAAGTCAGAAGCAGGGAGATCTGTTGGGCAATATTGTAGTAATCCAAGTGAGAGATGTTATTCACAACAGTCGAGGCTGGGCTGGGTGGTCAGATTCTGGATAATTTGAAGGTAAACCAATAACATTTCATAACATATGGGATATGAAATTTGAGAAAGAGAAGAGTGAAAGATGACTTTAAAGTTTTTCTCCTGAACAATGTCAAGAGTATAGTTGACATCTACTGAAATGCTGTAGGTGGGTATGATGGACTTTGAGACTGGAAGAACTAGATGGTGCCTGGCTACCAATGCCAATCACTCAGGAAGGTATCAAAACTGGAGATCCTGGATGTAATGGGAGGAAAAACATAGAACAAAATCCAAAAACACAATACAGGATTACTGGTCAGATGGAGTCTGGTGAGACCCCCGATACTAAGGCCCTGGGATACACTTCAGGCCTGCAATAAAATTCACTCCCAGGGGCTGGCTCTCAGCCCAATAGTAGATAAGATATACATGCAGACCACTCAACCCAGGGTGATGCAACCCACATACTCTATGGAGATACATCCCTTGGAGCAATTGACCATGGGGCACCAGAGGGGCAACATTAACACAGAGGAAATGCAGGACACACAGGAGAATTTTTTTTTTTTTTTTTTTTTAAAGGAAATGCTGTGGATGGAGTAGGTTTGTGGGAAGATCATGGGTTCCATCTCTTGACCTATTCCCTGACATGGTTTAATCTGAATTACCATTTGATTAAAGAAATAGGCAGGTGAGATGTCCACTTGAAATGTTTTGGGCCTATCCTCTTTATCTTCTACTTAAGCTGATTGAGAACGCACAAAAGTAAAGAGAACTACATGCCTTTTTAAAATTACTGATCCTTTGTATATAGAGGCAATAGGTCCTCTGCATTGCTTGACACGCATAAAGACTGCACAGGGAAAGATGCGAAGGGAGGAAAAGGTGAGATTATGAAACAAAATTATCTATACTTCCCATGGCCTACACTCTGAAATATGACTTGTTTCAGAACATATGACAAAGGCCAACTATTTCTTACATATTTTTCATACATCAGTACCAGTTGCTGTCGATTCTGACTCATGACAACCCCGTAGAACTATGCTCCATGGAGTTTTCAGTGTCTGATTTTTCAGATCCAGATTGACAGGTCGTTCTTCCAAGGTACCTCCAGGTGGACTTGAACCTTCAACCTTTTAGTTGGCAGCTGAGTGCATTAACTGTTTTTACTACTCAAAGACTCCATGTTTTAAAAAATACATATAAAACAGAAAAAATGCAGAAAGCCCTAGATTTTATTTTTAGTACCTAAAACACTGTTTTAACTATGTTATATTTTGTCCAGTGGGGATTTCTGGAGCTCCCATAGTAAAATTCAGGTGAGGTAAAACGTTTGCTTTTTTTTTTTTTTGGTTATTGTTGTTAAGCAGAAGAGGGCTAATATAAAGGTGAATGTGGGAAAAGAGAATCTATATGACATTGTTGTTGTTGTTGTTTTTGTTACGTGCCGTCGAGTCGGCCCCGACTCATAGCGACCCCTCCTTGGGTTTCCGAGGCAGTATCACTACGGAAGTAGGGCAATTTATGAAAGAGTATTAAGGAAGCTAACACTATGGAAATTGATTTCCTGAAAACCATTTATGCCCATAGACTGCTCAGAATGTCAGGTGAACAGGTTTCCAACCTGAAGATCACTGCACTGAAGACTATTATTTTAAGATGAGACTTAGTGGCGAGTTAGGAGAGCAACAATCACTTGTGCATATTTCAAAATAAACTTAGCATGGGAGGTGAATAAATAGATAAAAGAGATGATATGATTTATTGATTATAATCCATTGTGATTATCTATCTCTTAGTGAAAAAAGAAGAGTGTATCTTAGAGTACAGTATGTTTGCTACCTGCCCAGAATATTGGATTGGATTTAGAGGGAAGTGTTATTATTTTTCTGAGGAAACAAGGAATTGGACATTCAGTCAGACCTTCTGTGTCTCAATGGAATCTACTCTTGTTCAGTTTGAAACCCTGGAGGAACTGGTAAGAATTGTTTTGGGATCATGTTCTCTGTTGAATACTTAGTTCTTTGAGGAGCTGGACTAAGAGGGTTAAAACTGAATGATGATGTGAGGAGTCCAGTCCAGGCAGACTTTAGGGCAAAGGATGCACCTTTGGATCTGACATTTTTGAGAATATAGTCATGCTTAGAATTCTGTGAGACATTTTGGATACATTCATTTAATCCTCATAGCTAATATGTAGATTACATGTATTTATTGTGTTTTTCACAATACGCTAAGCAATATAATTCAATATAGTAAATCATGTAATTTATCATCCAAATTGGGACATTTTGGGGAGTGAAAGTGGGCACTATGAAATATTATTCTGGAACAACAGTCATAAACTGGGACATTCCCAGGCAAATTGGGGTGTGTGGTCACTTTAAATAAAGTAACTATTAAAGATCAGGTATTAAATGATATAAGCTGAGAATTGGACACTAGTCTGACTCCAGTGTCTATCCTTCTCAGTTACACCATGCTATCATCCAAAAAGAGAAGGATTCAGGGAAGAGAGACTCAAGAGTAGTATGAGAAAAAGAGACAAATGTTTTCACTTTGTGTTTTGTGATAGAATTTCCTGAAAAGATACAAAGGACCTTCTGACCATTGGGTTGGCCTCAGCAGAGAATCATCACATGGAGTCTGGAAATGGACAGATGGGACTGAACATAATAGCTCGTAGGTTTTGAGACATCTCTTCCTTCTACTATGTTAATGTGTGGTTGTGTATTGTGTATGTGAATTGTGTTTAGGAAACAAGAAATTTAATGTCATGTGAAGCTCACTCACTGCAATATGAAGTGAGAATTACAGAACCTTTTCTTGCTCTTCCATTTATTGGCTCTGGCTTTGGGAAAACGTTACTTATTGTGTCATAGTTGAAATCTTTAATGGGATGATGGCATTTGGTAAAGTTCAAGCACTCATCCACTCATTGAAAACTTTTCTTTGTCTAAATCCCTATTTAGAATGTAGAGACAACTACCATTGCACATCAGTTTAAAAATCCTAGGAAGCTATTGAAGAACTGATATTAAGACTATTAAGTCCACTCTTCCAGCTGCCTTATCCATTCACAAAAGGAAGTTTACTAAGGAACCTGTAGAGATTTTTCTAAAGTTTTATTGCCAGAAGAAACCTAGTGACAGCTTCTTATATTGTGAATATTTCAATGGGATGTTTTGAATATAATCATTTCATTGGAGATGATACATTGTGGCGATCCAAGCATTTCCATCAATCAAAGTTAAAACCTTATAGAAATTTACCAGCAAATACATTTTTTTTTAAATTTTATTTTCACACGTGTATGAAGCAATTCAGGGGTAGACTGAAAATAGTCTCCAGTGATGACCTTACATGGTAGATGTCCATTTAAGCACAACAGTAACTGAATATCTAATCAATAGCATCAGTGGGTTTTGCTGTGGGTGAATGATAAACCTGGGATACTCAAGCAGTGACTTTGAGAATGTAAAAGGAACTAAATAGGGAAATGGTATGAGATATTAAGAAGCCATATTAATGACAGATTTTTGTTCTTCCATTATTTGCATGAAAAAATCTAGAGAGGGGTTTCTGAAGATTACAGTGAAGAAGTGAATATATGTCCAACCTGTGAATAATTAATATTTTTGAATTTGATTTTAGGTTAATCATCAGAGGAGTTGGAGAATGTGCATACCTGAATGACATTGGTGTCAGTAGTGCCAGGATGTACACAGATAGGAAATGGATTTGTAGCAAACAGAATATTTTTCCCCAGAGGTGCCAAATGACTTCAAGATATAAATAGTAAAATTTTCAAAGCACAGGAGAGAAATAGATGCATTGTAGGTTGCTGTATGCAGTTGCTGATCCAATTTTGTGGTCCACCAAAAATATTACCAATATTTATTCTAAAATCTATTGACAGGAAGAATACAAACTTTTCCTGGGGTAGTATAATACTGGGATTTGGAATAGTATGATGCTAAATTAATTGTTCTGATAAATTGATACTTATATTTTGATCCCAGAGTATAATAAATAGCAGTAAACTCCACCTTTATCACCAATCTAAAATTTACTAAATCTAAAATTTAGGAAAATATCTTTTCCTATACAGACAGTCCTTACTTTGTACTCATGGAGGCATAAAAAGGACCATGGTAGCTGAAGCCATGCACAAAGATCTTAGTAAACAATGAGAACAGTTATGATTGTTCTGTGACCTTTGAAAATTTTTGTGAACATGCAGAACTTTTTTACTGCCAGTTAGAAATATAGAGGGAAATTTTTTAAAATATTAAAAACTGGTATTTAATTAGTACCTTGTAATTTAAAACATTAGAAACACTGAGAATTAATGTATTTTTTTCTTTCTTTGCCAAAAGATCTTATTGAGAGTTGTTTGAACATTGCTAGCCTTCTGTTCGTGGTATACCTTACTATACAGATTGAACATCTCTGGTGAATTGTCATACTCCTTTCTATGCTTCAATGAGCTGCCAGCATTTTATCTTTGTGCTTTCATGTTGTAAAATAGCTTCAAGAATTCATGTGAAATACTTGCCAACATCTCTTCTTCTGAGACAGCTTTGTCCTTTTCATCACAACCACTTTACTTATTTATGTCAATAATTTGCCTTCACAAAGTTCCTATCACTGCATGTCTAGAATCTCCCAATGGTATCAATGCCAATGTCCTGACAGCCAGCTATTTCTTCTATAATTCCATTTACATTTGATTCAGGTTTCACTTGCAGCATTATCACTTTTCATTTTTCTATTTTTTTATTTATATCCTATTTCCTCTTTTGAGTACCCATTTTTGGAAAATACCACGTGCATTAATAATTAGGAGATCAAATGGCAACACAACTATTTGCTTTGTTGTGTGTGCAGTGGACTGTAAAACAGATGTTCAATGACCAATCACTGACAGATTTTTAAAAAAGTGACATATTGGTCACTTATTGTGTTGAGCATCTGTTGTTTACATAGTGATATGTGGACTGAAGGACTAGTAGGGAAGAGTGTATTCATACAATTATTCAGTTAATTGTACAGTTACTCTGGTAACTGAAATTTGAACCATGTTATCAGGTGGCAATTGGAATACATGCATATTAGAACTGTGCAAAGTGAGGACTGTCTATTTTTAAAACATCGAGTTCTCTTACCTCCTGACAAATTACTATTCTCTCTTTTACCCTTTGTAGGATTTAAAATCTTTGGTTTTATTCCAGAATAAAGTAAAGACAATTAACTATTTGAATTATTTAAGCATCCAGTACCTAATTGCACCACTGTTTATTTATGGTTAAGTTTTAAAAAGAAAATGTTTAAAAATTTTATAGGATCAGCTACGCTGTACTGATGAATCCCAAAAAGGATGAAATAACAATTAACATGCATCTCCTCCATTATGTGCTTCAACATCTCCTACATGATGAAGTATTTCTTCATTTTATCCTTCAATTATAGGAATTTTTGCTGTAAATATTTTGAGCCTATGTTTTCACTTACATACAAATATATGTCATAATTAATTAAACCTCTTTTCAATAAATAGCAATTTTCTTTAATTGACTAACTGACATACTATTCTTTTATAAACTAGCTTTCAAAGTATATACCTAAAGCATGAACTCCAACTTACCATCTGAGACCTTGATAAATTTCACAGCCCCTAAGGCAGAGTTTCTTCATATTAAAAATAGCTGTAATAATACCAGTTTCATAGGCTAGTTATACAACTCAAGTGGAATCACACATGAAAATCTCTTGCCCCTGGGTCTGACTCATAGCAAATGCTTAATAGATTATTACTTTCCAATTATTCAATGGAAACAAAAGTAAAAGTAACAGCAGTCATTCTGCCACTGGTGTGGAAACTTTTATGATGTTAAGTTCATTATGGTGTTCCTGCTCTTGGTGTTGTATTAATCTAATCAGTTTGTCATGCTTTGTGGAAATCCCCACTGGTTGAATTCATGATTCACATGTGGGAAGCATTCCTTCTCAGGAACAAACATGCAAAAGTACCCAGTGTGTAACACATGAGAGGCAATCTACATACTTTGGGACTTACCTGTTCTTCTAGTTTAAATATATTCTGATTTATTCTTTGCACTGGTTACCAAACTGGTAATTCTAAACCACAATATGATCAATTAGGTCATTCCCTCACACAAAATCTTTCTGTGGCTTCTCTTTTACTCTCAGTATAAAGCCCAAACTCTCAATTAAGGTCGTGTGGTATAATTATGTCACTGCTTTCTTTCTATTTTCTGTAAGTCTTTCTCTTCAGAGTCCCTAAGCCTTATACTTGATACCAAAAACAAACAGAAAAGCAAAATAAGTAATATGCATATAAAGTTTCCCAGTAGTGTACACCATCTCAGCTTCTGGAAAATCCCCAGAAAGCTCATCTTGTCAAACCAGAGCTTGTTCAGGAACTCCACGGTATTCACATCCATTGGTAATAACATTACTGTTTTAGAAATTCTAGACATAATCAGAACACAAGCATGGAGCAATTGAGATTATAGTCATATCAACAGCTACAGTTCCAAAGAGTTCTAAATTCCAGTGCAGAGAACAAAGTGTCTTTTTTCAGAGCACCCTTTGACAGAGGGGATCAATTATGGGCGTGGCAATTGGGTAGAGAGGTGCAATCACAGAGAGGTTGTTTGGTTTGCTCAATCTCAGTCTTAGTTTGATCATCACCTTCCATGGATGTGCTTTCTGATCCTTAGATTAGGTTCTATTTCTCTATCCCCCTGTTCTCGGAAATCTGTTATTTCCCCAATATAAACCTTGTAACATTGTGTTGCTAATACTTAATTTTCTGACTTCCCAATCAGAATGTAGCTACATGAAGTGACAGACCACAGTGACCCTTTCTTCATTATGTTCTCAGCCCTTTGTGTAGCTTCTGGCATAAAGTTGGCATCCAATTAATGTCTATTAAATGAATAAGTATCATTTCTGTGGTGTATTTTTTAAACTCTAATTTACATTCAATAGTTTGTGATCAATATTCATAAAAATGTAACCCTTCTTTAGCATGAAATATAGTTAATAGTTTTCTGGGTTCTCTGGCTTTGAGCCAACAAAACATGAATATAGCAACAAAATATGAATTTTCCCCCAAATAACCTGGAAACTCTTGAGGTATGAGTACTTGCTTATAGCACAGTCACAACATAAGTTATATTTAAACACATGTGACATCAGCTCTCATTGCACTCATGTTTTCATTATGGGATGAATAAACAAAATAATTTTGGTATTTGTTCAGTGGAAGTAGAGGTGAAATATGTGGACAGTGGTCATTTCTCAATACTTAAAATTGATCTAGTGCTAGGATTAATTTTTTTTAAATTTGGAATCCTTTACATGATATTTCGTTTTTCAAATTGGATGCTATTCCAGTCAGAACCTGCCTTCTTATATCTTTCAGAATACAATGTATAATAACTATTGAGAGCAGAGAAACATCTAAAGCAGAGGTAATCAAAGAATAGGTAGAGAGCAAGAAAAAACAAAACCAAAACATGAAGTAATAAAATGGAAAAAGAATAGAATCCAGGGCAAAAGAAGTGAAAGACAAAAAGAGATCTTGCAACAGGAAATCAGAAGGAAATAATAGGACCAAGAATTTAGTTCAAGACAAGATGATGTATACTCAGCTCTCGCTGATCTTCATCTGTAAACAACACAAGAAACAACTGGGAGAGAACTGTGGATGGTGTTAAGAGAAATGGGGGAGTCTCTGGGTGGTGCATGCATTAACATGCTTGGCTGCTAACCAAATGGAGTCCACCTAGAGTTGCCTCAGAAGAAAAGCTTGGTAATCCACTGAAAAATCAGCCATTGAAAACCCTATGGGCAAGGCAAAGGAAGACAGTAGGTGGAACACAAGGGTTAAAGGCAACGGAGATAAATACTATTACATATATAAAAAAAGAAAACCCTGTGGAGCACTGTTCTACTCACACACACTGAATTCTCCATAAGAGTTCAACAATAGTGTCAACAGTTATGTCAACAGTAACTGGTTTTTTAGAGCAAGGTGAGCTGATCTGTGGTCCCAGAACCGGAAGAGTAGCAAGCGTAGCAGCAGGATGTCTTGTGTCTCCATCTCCTACCACACCTAAGAGAGGAAGGATATGGTCCAGACCCAGTGTTTCCTGTCCCTAACCTCATGATAAAAGGCAACCCAGGTAAACTCATTTCTCCCCTAGAATGATAGAAGTCTCATTGACAACATCAGGGAAATACCACAGTACTAGCCAAGAGAGTCTTGGTGGGATCACCATTGTCAATAAGTGGCCAGGAGAAACAGTTTCCCTCTTAGACTTGAGATTTCCCTCTCCTACCTGGAGACGTGACATATTCAAAGACACCAGCAAGGGTGACACTGCCACAACAAGCACAAGGCCCATGCGCTGTGGGCTGTCTTCATTGACTGGAGATTTCCTACTCTGGGGAGCTTTACCTTTTGAGCTCTGGTGGCACAGTGCCTTAGGCATCTGACTGCTAACAGAAGGTCAGTGGTTCACACCCACTAGCCAATCTACTTCCATAAAGATTTACATAAACCAAGACTGGGCAATCTACTTCCATAAAGATTTACTGCCTCGGAAACCCAATGGGGGTCCCTCTGAGTTGGAATTGACTCAATGGCAGTGGGTTTGGTTTGTTTTTTTGTCTTCAACATGCAGACTAGTGTGGGAAAATCTTTTTCTGCTTCTTTAAGAAGTATAAGCAGGGACAAGAGGAACCCCGCTGGCATCAGATAACCAA